TTTTTTTTTCTTCCCTCCCTTACTCTATCTCTCCCTCCCTCCCTCTGTCTCTCCCTCCCTCCTTCCCCCCCTCCCTCCTTCCCCCCTCCCTCTATCTCTCCCTCCTTCCTTCCCTGCCTCCCCCTCCCTCCCTCCCTCCCTCCCTCCCTCCCTCCCTCCCTCCCTCTCTCCCTCCATCCCTCCCTCTCTCCCTCCCTCCCTCTATCCTTCCCTCCCTCCTTCCCTCCCTCCCTCTCTCCCTCCATCCCTCCCTCTCTCCCTCCCTCCCTCTATCCTTCCCTCCCTCCTTCCCTCCCTCCCTATATCTCTTCCTCTCTCCCTCCCTCCCTCCCTCTGTCTCTTCCTCCCTCCCTCTATCTCTCCCTCCCTCCCTCCCTCCCTTCCTCCCTCCCTTTATCTCTCCCTCTTCCCTCCTTCCTTCCCTCCCTCCTTCCCTCCCTCCCTCCTTCCCTCCCTCCCTCCCTCCTTCCCGCCCTCTATCTCTCCTTCCCTCCTTCTCTCTCTCCCTCTCTCACTCCTTCCCTCCCTCCCTCCCTCCCTCTATCTCTCCTTCCCTCCTTCCCTCCCTCCCTCCCTCCCTCCCTCCCTCCTTCCCTCTATCTCACCCTCCCTTCCTACTTCCATCCCTCCCTCTATCTCTCCATCCCTCCCTTCTTCCCTCCCTCCCTCCCTCCCTCTTTCCTTCCCTCCTTCTATCTCTCCCTCCCTACCTCTTTCCCTCTATCTCTCCCTCCCTCCCTCCTTCCCTCCCTCCCTCCCTCTATCTCCCCATCCCTCCCACCCTCCATCCCTTCCTCCCTCCCTCCCTCCTTCCCTCTATCTCACCCTCCCCTTTTTTTATGTGTTCCATCTATTCACTGTCTTTTTGTTCGTGGTTTTACCGTGTCATTAGAGGTCAGAATTCCCGTTAACAGAATATAACGGGCGGTTGGTTTTCTCGTTACCGTGGTGTCTGTTGTCGTTGTCCCGTAATGAATATTGTTATCAATTTTTGTTATTATTGTTTTGCTGTCATTTGTTATAAGTATTAGGTGTGTGTGTGTGTGTGTGTGTGTGTGTGTGTGTGTGTGTGTGTGTGTGTGTGTGTGTGTGTGTGTGTTTATGTGTATGTGTGTGTATGTATGTATGTGTATATGTATATATGTATATATATATATATATATATATATATATATATATATATATATATATATATATATATATATATGTATATATATATATATATATATATATATATATATATATATATATATATATATATATACATATATATGTATGTATGTGTGTATATGTATATATATATACATTTATATATATATATATATATATATATATATATATATATATATATATATATATAAATATATATATATATATATATATATATATATATATATATATATATATATATATATATATATATATATATATATATATATCAGGAGTCACAAACAGACAATATTTTTTTGCAGAGAAAGTGAAACATAACGAAAAACTCAGTGGCGTCATCGTATCACGTATAACGCACTTCTTTTGCGAGCTCCTACACTGTGTTGCAATCACCGGTGTTGAAAGTGTGCACAGGTTAATCATTTCTGCACTATTGCTAAAGAAGGCAGATTACTTATTGCTTGTGTGAAGTTATTTTGAGTACGAATTAAAAACGTTTTCTGATGGTACAATTTGTTTTTTTCTCTTTACACATACGCACAAACAGACAGACATACTTATACACACATACATTTACGTATTTACAAGCACAGACATATACTCATGTAAATATAAGTGCACACACTTACACACATACACACGCACGTACATGTATATAGATATTGTCCACCCTCACCCCCACGTGGTTGGGAATGTGGGGATGTGGTCAAGGCATGTATGTGGTTCAGACGATGTATTACAGGAGTAATAGAATATGTTATTATTATTTTTTAATATAGCCGCTTAAGAGAGAGAGAGCGAGAGAGAGAGAAATCTACATATTAATATATATATATAGAGAGAGATAGATAGATAGATAGATAGATAGATAGATATAGATATATAGATATAGATAGATATATAGATATGTATATATATATATATATATATATATATATATATATATATATATATATATATATATATATATGATTATATATATATATATATATATATATATATATATATATATATATATATATATATATATATATATATGTGTGTGTGTGTGTGTGTGTGTGTGTGTGTGTATAATATATATATATATATATATATATATATATATATATATATATATATATATATATATATATATATATATATACATATATATACATATATATATATATATATATATATATATATATATATATATATATGTATATATATATATATATATATATATATATATATATATATATATATATATATATATATATATATATATATATATATATATATATGTACATGTGTCACTGCCGCGATGGTCTAGTGGTTAGAGCACTGGGCT